ATTCCTTGCAAGAGGGCAGCGGCTGGAACGCAACAGTTTCACAGCGAATGACAGATTGTGTTGTTCGCCCCAGTCCCCGATTGCCCCGAATCAGCATCGGGGCCGCTCGTAAAGATGGACAAGCTCAGGGATACAGGTCACCGGGACTCGCCCCGCCGAGGACGGGCGCGCCCCCATCCCATCAGGGACCCCAAGCGCGGGCCCCTCTTGAGATGACCTCTTCGTCGCCGTGGCAGGGGGCGACAGCCTGCGCCCCAGCACGAAAAAAAAGCATGGTGAAGCGGGCCTCCTGCTCCCTCCTGGCTTGTGCGGTGGCGCCCCTCCGCCTGGGAGTTCCTTCGAGGCCGATGGGGACCCATCTCCGGGTGTTTTTCCCAGTAGGCTTAAGTCGGGCATGTCTTTCTACTGGAGGAATCTTCAAGAATAATCAAACAATAGTCTGGGGACGATTTCTGTTTGGTAAAATGTTTGAGTATGTTCTGAACATGCTTGAGCATGTTCTAAGTTTCGCCCAAGATCCGCCGGTAGGAGCCCGGGCTGGAAACGCAGCAGACCGGAGGCAGCCCCAGAGAACACACGGCAGCAGCATGTCGGCAGAGCTCCACGGCCTCGCGCCCCGACGGGGCACCGGATCTTCTCGTGCTGCCTGTTCCGAGGCCTCAACTTCCAGTGTCTTGGCATCGCTCGGACGTGTGCATTTTTTCTTCGGCGAGGACAATCGAGGAGCATCCTTGATCATTTGGCGAAAAAACCACGATGGAACCAAAAAAACACAGGGAATGGACGTCCGATCGATGGCGAGTTGTTCAGCCACGCGCAGAGGGGGGAGGGGGGAGAGGGGAGGCCTCCTTAGAAGCATCCCTGCTTTTCAGAAGGCGCGGGCCTTATCCTATAGATGTGAGGCCGGCGCCTTCCAATAAGCAGCCTCCTTCTAAGAAGCCCTCTCCCTTCCCTCCACCCCGTTGTGCGCACCGCCAAATTCCTCTTGCTTCCGTCCCCCTTCCTTCGAAGAGAAGGTGCATAAGCATAAACTTAGGTCCGGGCGGACTTCTTGGATCTGTGCTGGGCCCCCCAAGCGGCGGCTCCCGCGCCGCCCGTGGCGCGCCCCTTGCGCGCCAGGGGGTGGCGCAGAAAACAAGAAATCCGTTCGGACCGTCGAACGCGTGTGTGTATACAAATGTTTCTTCTTCCCCTCGCCACCATCACCACCACCACCATCCGCTACCCGCGCTCTTGGCCTCACCCTCCTCTTTCTCCTTTTCCTCCTCCTCCTCCTCCTCCTCCTCTTGCTCCTCCTCGTCGTCCTCGCCTTCTGGGAGGGCAGAGCACGCACCCACACCCCCATACGCTTCTGCGCGTGCAGTCCGTGCTTCCACTGCTCCTCCTGGTGCTCTGGCAGGCTGGCGCGCGGGGAGCTGGTCTGTGTAGGCCTCCCCCCTCGGCCTGCCACGGCGCCCGCGTGCCCCGCCTTCCTCCCTCCTCCCTCCCCCTCCTCCCTCCCCCCTCCTCCCTCCTCCCTCCTCCCTCCTCCCTCGAGCGGGCGATAACGGGCGTGACCAGCCCCGCCCCCGCCCCCCTTGCCTTTGGTCACGCCGCAGCGGTCGTCCGGTGGCGACCGCGGACATCCCTGTGACGCTCGCAGGCTACTGTGGTGCTCAGGGGCACGTCGTCGTGCTCACTGCGACGCTCACTGGAAAGCGGCGCTTGCGTGCGTGCCGCCTGGTGCTCTCCGGGACGCAGTGTTGTTCT